ATAGTCTCCCTCACACACCAGCTCCCACAACATAACCCTCAAACTCAACTCACCGACACATGCAAACGACAGCAACTTATCTCACCCAATTTACCTTAATTAAAACAACACAATTTTTGGTACCCCGGTGACCTTTAACCCTGTACATGAGTTCAATTTACATCCGTGTATTAGAGGTTTACCAAGAGGTGTCCTGGAGTTTATAGGCTTTGAGGAGTGATCAAAATATTATCCCTCTCATATATTGGTGATTTCTATACGATTAATACCGAGGAAATTCCGGATTACCTAAAGTTTAACCATCTACCCTAGCACTATTGGCGAGGATAGGATAGGATAGGATAGGATAGCGTTAGGGTGGTTAATCTCCAGGTGATCAGAAATTCCCAAACCGTCTTAATCTACCTGTAGTGGTTTTCATTTAAGATATTTTCTCCGTGAGGTCTTCTTGTTATGATCCGTCAAAATCATAAAAACAAAACAAAATCAGAAGAATAAAAAAAATAATAACTTGAGAAACAGTTTAGGTAACACGCAGAAAGACAGATGGCAGCTTAGTACTCTCAGGGGCCAAGTTGATGGGCGGTGTTACGAGGACAAGTACTGGTTCCTCTGGGGCACTATTACACACCACCTACGTCTCTTACATACAGTATACTCAATGTCTTTACACACCAACACCGCCACCTCCACCATAACCACGAATCTCCCTCCTCCAACACCACAATCCTCCCTCCAACACCACCACAGCTCTCCCTCCACCACCACCTTGCGTTACAGTACGAATCTACCTACACAAAACCCCGGATGACCGCCGTACTCCACAACCAGGGAATAACAGCTGTTCCTACCTTTCAGATAATTGGTTCATTAACTTTTACATTTGGTTATCGAAGTCCAGTGGTTCCGTCGTTCAGGCCTGTGATTGCGAGTTCCCCCAATGCTGCCCCCGCGTGAGGTAATGTGGGAGTGAGAGAGTTTTGGATAAGTGTATTGAGGATGTTTCACGTAATGATGATATACACCTCTCTCTCTCTCTCTCTCTCTCTCTCTCTCTCTCTCTCTCTCTCTCTCAGTTATCAGACCAATTGCCTCATTGACCCAGTTACCGTGTGAGGGTTCATATGGGTCTCTTGAATAGTACACTGAGACACACTGACACGAATCTCACATGACACAATCCCATTGACAGATCTCCTCTACACATAACCTCACCGGACACAACTGTCTGGTAGAAATAAATCCCATCTCACAAATCATAACCTGACAACCAAGCCTACTGTACGTGAAAGAACATTCATTGTTCAAAAAATACCAAGTGACCATTTTTCGTTACAATAAAAATCCCATTGGGCGATTTTTTCATTGGGTAAAATCCTACTGTACGACCAGAATAATGATAATTACAAGATACTGGTAATTAAGTGAAAGGTCATCATCCTTCATATAGGTGAAAACAGTACAGATGGCCACCAACTTAAACTTTAACATATAAAAGAGAAGCGCCCCTGACAAACACGGCATTGAACTCTAGACCAGCTGAACTGTTATGGTCAACCCCGCAGTGTTGTCGCGACTCCTCTACCATATAAACTTTATAAGGTATTTATCTATTACAGCTTAACTTCTATGAACAGACAATATTTATTCAGCGTGTGTGAACACGGAGACGTCGATTTTTTTTCCTTTTTGCGTTCATTATTGTCGAACGCACGATAGAAAGGACGGTCGAAAGGACGGATGGATACACAAACGGACGCACAGACGGATGCAAGGACGAATGAACGCACAGACTGTCACAATCCTGTTCCGTGAATTTCAACACAGCGAGAGAGGCTGACGAACCGTATAAATCAATGGTTTAATCTCCCGTAAAAGATGTCAACAATACTGACGCTCCTGGACATCAACAATACTGACGCTCCTGGACATCAACAATACTGACGCTCCTGGACATCATCAATACTGACGCTCCTGGACATCAACAATACTGACGCTCCTGGACATCAACAATACTGACGCTCCTGGACATCAACAATACTGACGCTTCTGGACATCATCAATACTGACGCTCCTGGACATCAACAATACTGACGCTTCTGGACATCATCAATACTGACGCTCCTGGACATCAACAATACTGACGCTCCTGGACATCAACAATACTGACGCTCCTGGAATCACAATACGACGTGACATCAACAATACTGACGCTCCTGACATCAACAATACTGACGCTCCTGGACATCAACAATACTGACGCTTCTGGACATCAACAATACTGACGCCCTGGACATCAACAATACTGACGCTCCTGACATCAACAATACTGACGCTCCTGGACATCAACAATACTGACGCTCTGGACATCAACAATACTGACGCTCCTGGACATCAACAATACTGACGCTCCTGACATCAACAATACTGACGTCTTGGACATCAACAATACTGACGCTCCTGGACATCAACAATACTGACGCTTCTGACATCAACAATA